ATGGAGACTAGCTAAAGCAAATGGAAGAGATGACAAGATAAAAAAGCTGAACAGAAGATTTCAAAGAGTGGCTTGAGAACACGAAGTCAATTATTATAATGAAATGTGCAAAGACCTGGAGTTAGAAAACCAAAAGGGAAGAACATGCTGGGCATTTCTCAAGCTGAAAGAACTCAAAAAAATTTCAAGCCTTGAGCTGAGTTGCAATATTGAAAGATTCTATGGACAAAGTATTGCAAAATATTCAGGAAACATCAAAAGAAGATGGAAAGAATACATAAAGTCACTATACTAAAAAGAATTGGTTGATATTCATCCATTTCAGGAGATGGCATATGATCAAAAACCAATGGTATTGAACGAAGAAGTCAAAGCTGCACTGAAGGAATTGTTGAAGATCAAGGCTCCAGGAATTGATGGAATGTCCATTGAGATGTTTCAACAAACAGATGCCCCGCTAAAGGCACTCGCTTGGCTATGCCAAGAAATTTGGAAGACAGCTACCTGGTAAACTGACTGGAAGAGATCCATATTTGTACCCATTCCAAAAAAAGGTGATCCCACAGAATGTGGAAATTATCAAACAATATCATAATATCACATACAAGTAAAATCTTACTGAAGATAATTCAAAAACTGTTGCAGCAGTATATTGACAGAGAACTTCCAGAAATGCAAGATGAATTCAGAAGAGAACATGGAATGAGGAATATCATTGTTGATGTCAGATGGATCTTAGCTCAAAGCAAAGAATACCAGAAAGATGTTTACTTGTGTTTTATTGACTATGCAAAAGAATGCGATTATGTGGATAACAAATTATGGATAACATTGAGAAGAATGGTAATTCCAGAACACTTAACTGTGCTCACAAGAAACCTATATATAGACCAGGAGGCTGTCATTCAAACAGAACAAAGGAGTACTGCTTAATCAAATCAAGAAGGGAGTGCATCAGGGTTGTATCATTTCACCATACATAATCAATGTGTATGCTAAGCAAATAATCTGAGAAGCTGGACTATATGAACAGAGGTGTGGCATCAGAATTGGTGAAAAAGTCATTAACAACCTGTGATGTGCAGATGAAACAACTTTGCTTACTGAAAGTGAGAATGACTTGAAACACTTAATGCACAGTCTGCATTATGGATTACATCTCAACATAAAGAAAAGGAAAATCCTCACACTGGAACCTGTAAGCAGTATCACGATAAATGGAGAAAAGATTGAAGTTGTCAAAGATTTCATATTACTTGGTTCCATGTTCAACACCAATGGAAGCAGCCATCAAGATATCAGATGGCTTATTGCGCTGGGCAAAGCTGTTGCCAAAGACCTCTTTCAAGTGCTGAAGATCAAAGATGTCTCCTTGAAGACTTAAGGTGCACCTAACCCAAGCCATGGTATTTTCAGTTGCCTCATATGCATGTAAGAGGTGGACAATGAATAAGGAAGACTGAAGAAGAGTTGATGCTTTTGAGTTGTGGTTTTGGCAAAGAATACTGCAAGTACCATGGACTGCTAAAAGAACAAATCTGTTGTGGAGGACGTGCAGCCAGGATGCTCCTTGGAAGCTAGAATGGCCAGACTTCCTTTGACCTACATTGGTCATGTTATCAGAAAGGACCATTCCCTGGAGAAGAATATCATACTTGTTAAAGTGGAAGGACTTCAATGAGATGGATTGCCACAATGGCTGCAATGATGGGCTAAGGTATAGCAAGTATTGTGAGGCTTGCACAGAACCTGGTGGGTGGTGTTTCGTTCTGTTGTACTTAGGGTCACTGTGAGTCAAAGCCAACTCGACGGCAGCTAATAACAACAACAATAAAAAGAAGGGCAAGAAGGTTTGCAAGAAAGAAATTGAAGTTTGCATTACTTCAGTACTTAGTTAAGGAAAACATGGTAGAATATTCATGTTTACCTGTTGTTGTTGTTATGTGCCATCGAGTCGGCCCAACTCATAGTGACCCCTCCTTGGGTTTCTGAGGCAGTGTCACTACAGAAGTAGGATTGCCCAAGGAGTGGCTGGTGGGTTTGAACCACCAGCTTTCTGGTTAGCAGTCAAGTGCCTTAGGCACTATGCTACCAGAGCTCCATGTTTACCTAGTGAATGTAAAACCTTATGCAGAGTCAGAATTCAATTAGCCTTGTGATTTACAGAATTCTCAGGCTAGCTAAATTGTAAAATATGTTCTTACTTTTCCACCAGAAAGAAAATCATGAAAAGTAGAGTGAAAGCACATACAGATTTAATGATAAGTGGAACTTATTTTATGGCACAATATTTGATTTTTTTGCTTTTTGAAAGGTTTATTATGAGGGTTCTTGTCCTTTTAGGGATTCTGTGAGGCTTTATAGTTTCTGTAAGCATTGTAGCTCACCCATTCTTGTCAAACAGAACCCGAAGGAACAGGGTCAGAATCCCTGAGGCTAATTAGAGGCAAGGTTGAAAGAAAGAACTGCCTGTTTTCTACAACCAGTGCAGCAAATCATTGTTACCATGGCAGAGAAGGGAAAATTCTTAGAGTTTCAGGTCATATCGTTAGTGGGGGTAGAGGAGATGCTATTTTTTGTTGTTCCTGTTTTCAACCTTTATGTAAAAATTGAGTTAACAATACTATTCAGCTCATGGCAGACTAGCACTATCATGTTGTGAAGAACCACTTTTTATTTATTTATTTTATTTCTATTACCTTACCTCATTATTTTCAATTCATTTTTCCCTGCCATATGTCATTTATATCGAGTAACATATATATCTTTCCAATCAATTTTCAATATATTTATTAAAATTTCTTTTTGCTTGGACAATACATGTTGTTGTATTATGTGATTTAAAAATGTATCAAGTGGTACTTTGCTGTAAAAAAAAGTCATTTCAATATGATTCTCTTACTTATTTTTTAGTTCAATATTCATTGCAGTGGATCTACTAAGGTTATGCAGTCCTCTATTTTTTTCCAACTGCTACAGGTCATTTTGTTCTACAGAAATACCATATATTTAAAAAATAAATAAATAAAACCCCAAAATTTAACAGTTTGAATGAAAGTTTACAGAGCAAATTAGCCTTCCATTCAACAATTTGTACACTTCTGTTTCTTGACATTGATTGCAATCCCCTCAATGCGACAGCATTCTTCCCACTTCCTTCCTGTGTTCCTTATTACAATTTTTCCTTTTTTCTTGATTCTTCTGGCCTTCTGAACTTTGTTTGTTGGCAAATGCTGCAATTTTGGCCTCATGTGCTTGATTGTCCTTAGTTATTCCTGACTAGTGTTAACATTCATTATATACATCTGACCATCAGCCACTCCATGGAAGGAAGGTTGGGCAATCTACTTCTGCAGTGATATGGACTTGGAAACCCAAGGAGGGGTCACTATGAGTCGGATCTGATTCGACAGCAGTGAGTTCTTCATTTTTCATTGTTTGGCTGTGTCATAATGAAAAAAACCACTCCAACCTTAATGTGAGATTAAGAGGATTTATTCAGAAAAAGAGAAAATACAACTGAATGCAGGGAGACTCCAGTCCACATAAATGAGAATTGAAAACTCTAACTAAAAACTTCCAACAAAGATACATATACTCCAGGGAACACAGAATTTATAATCCAGTTGTTTGGTTGGTTACCCTTTGGTTGCAGTCACAAAGAGGATGAGTTAGGTGTAGAAACTAGGCTTCTATTGGGTAATGATGTATAGAGGATTATAGAGTTTGATTTCAGGAACTAATTACAGAGATTTTCTATCATATTAGCATATCCCTCAGGTGGGACCATAAAACATCACTAGTGGATGTTTAAGCAGCTTTAACAAGATGTTTCATGAGTTTGTGAAATCCGTCTTTGTGTCAGAACTTCATTTTCCTGAAACAGCCTGTTAAACAAAAACCTTTTAAGTTGTCAGGGAAACTTTAGATAGAGTTGGCCCAAGATCTTTCAAACAATTCTCTTTATTACATCCTTGTCATAAAGAAATATTTATTGGGCCCACTTTGTACAATAGACAGCTGTGTCAAGATCCCTTTCTGAGAGTGTATTTCTCTCACATCCTGGCTTGACCATAGAGACAAATTACTTCTTAGCTATTAAGCCTTCTAGCAATTAACATACTTAGATAAAAAGAGCTTGTGAGGAGTTTTGCATTGACTCTGCAGCTTTGACTCTGCTGCTAAGTAAACACAGAGCCCTAGGTAGGCAAGTAAGTAAGAAAACTGTTCAATTCAGCAAGATTTTAGTTTAAGTCAATTATTTAGTTTTCTCAAAAAGACTTTATGAATTTCTCCTTTACAATTTTTTCCTGTTGATCAGGGAATTCTTTGAGCATCCTCTGATCAATTTAAGAAATAGTTTTTCTATACGGAAGTACTTAAAATTGCCATTTGTTATGTTGGTTGAATTAACAAGCATTTAACTTCTACCTTGCTATAGGGGAATTCTCGTCTTTAGGGTGAGCTGCTGTCATGTCACCCACAGAGAAAGTGCTTCTGATAATAGGTAGCTTTGGTTTCTTTTTCCCACCACACTATTGTAAAACTCCCAAGGTTTGAAAAATCCCATGACCTTGTTGAATGGTTGAATTAAATTCAGGATTCTTCTAATTCATTAGAGACAGTCATTGCCTCTGCAAACATTAGCCTGTGTAGTGGGCATCAAGTTGCTTCTTTAGATCAAGGCATTAGTGATTACTTTCATATAATATTTAACAGTAACAATTATAATGACTTTTAACATTCAAACTGTGATACCAGAGAACAGAATTGACCTAATCCAGGCACCTTCTCTGTTAGGTAGCCAGCTAAACATATCAGAAAAGAAAACCTGAATCCAGTTTGTTTTGTTTTGGTTTCTTTCTAGCATATTTTCACCCTGTCATGTTCTACCTTTCCCAAACTATTGATCCAGATGCAGCATGAAGTATAGCTATAGCACAGACTCATCCTTGCTGAGCCAATAAGAAATCTAGGGCAATTTTATTACCTAAAATTACCTTAACTGGTGAATTTAATGATATTTCATGAGCTGTCATAGCATTAGCTCCACCAGCAGGTATTTGTTCCATTGTGTCTGAGATATTTCTAATAACATGTTTCAAATATGCAACTCCCCACCATGTTATAAATGATCTTATAAAGGAAAAACCAGTTTTCTGTAACTGGGCTGAATCCATAGCCTATGACCCTCTAGTCTCTGTCAACAAATTTAAAGGATTAGTCAAATGTAGGCTTTCACCATCAGAACGGATGGCTAAGGGGACTCCCCTATGGCCTAATGTACACTGGCCAGCCGTAATCCAACTACCCAAACAGGATAGAACCCAGATGTAGGACTCATTATTTTGATTCAAATTAGTAATAATTAGATATCATGATACTCACATAAAAATACATATCAATATGAAGCACATACTAAATCAGTTCTAGTGTTTTTACCTAGGAGAAGGCTGGTTTGATTTATTTTTTCAAGCCAATTTTCTGTCAAAGAGTTTTTACTAATAGACAATCATTCTAACCTTAGGCAATTCCACATTTGAATATAAAAATGATTTATTTCCCTGTAGGCATGCTGTTAAATTTTCTGAAAAAGCCACATTGCAAAATCTGTGAGGGGCATTATATGAAATTAAGTGCTCATGTTTGAAGTCTGAAAGAGTGAAGCCACTTTAGAACAGTTTTTAACTCTGACTTGTGTTAAATTGAAACATGGAACTTAGTGTTGCGCTGGTATCCCAGGAGAATGCCAGGATTTTACAAATATAACCTGCCTAAAGGTGATGTTAAAATTGACAGTAACAAAGGAAAAAGCTATAGTTTATATGGGAGAATATAATGCATCTGAATTTGCATGTATGGTTTGGGGTGAAGAATGATAGATCCAACACTAAGTAAGGCTTGTGGATTGTGCAACTGCTTCAGTTAGTTTAACAAAAGCATTTTTGTGCCAAGAGTTAATTGGTGCTTCAGTGAGCAGAAATATGGGCAGAAAATTTAAGAAGGACTTCATGAAGAAATAAGCAAAAGAAATAAGCCCAAAAGAAATAAGCAAGGGCTACTAGCATGCAAATAATAGCAGTGACAATTAATTTCAGTTGTAAAAGCCATAAAAGAGAATAGAAAGGCTAAAAAGTAATAAAGGAAGAATATAATTACAATGCTAATGATAAAAAGATGCCATGTTATTTCAAAATTCATATGTCTTTCTAAATTAATCTATGTCTGGCCTTAATGGCAAGAAATTAATGGAATATAAATGGTGGAAGTAATTGTGAAGAATGTGATAAAAAGCCAAGTAAAAGAACTAACATGAATTTTATTTTAGACAAATCACAAGAAGCATCACTATTTTCTAAAAGTGGTGTTCACATAAAGAGCTCTGGGCTCACAGGGGGAGAACAACATGTCAAAACACGGAATAATAGCCCAGAGCTGGAGTCCTGTAACAATAAGGAAAAGAATTATAACAATCAGAAAATAAATTCCTAATGTACTTCCATAGTGATACTGCCTCGGAAACCCAAGGAGGGGTCACTATGAGTCAGGTCCGACTCAAAGGCACATAACAACAACAACAACAATATTTCTGCAGTTAATTTTTTTACTATTCTAAAAATTTGAGTTATAGAACAGAAGCTACTTTAAAAGCAACAGAAATTAAACAATGGACAAGTTTCCATATGAGTCATAAACTTAAGCAAAGGAAAATAACTATAATGGTAAGAAGATGGCACCACAGGTAAGTCTGATTATTAAAGCCATCAAAATATCCACATCAGATAATTATGATTCTAGTGACTAGAAAAATACAAAAAGGGCTAAAGCTTTTATTAGAACAGTTTGTTTCGAAGTTTTAACTGGAAAAAATATAGCCATTTCTCAGACTAATACAAAAAGTGAAAAGTTACAAATTTTTCTGCACGTTGCATAAGCAGTTTCAGGTCAGTCCAGAGATCTTGAGGGAACAGTCTACTGAGCAGTCATCTACTTGTCTTTGTGATGTTGTTCAGTCCTTTGCAGGGCTCAACAGTACATCCAGTAATTGATGTCTTCTTCAGTTGGAATACATGAATGTAAGTTTTGCCTTGCCTCCCTGAAATTTGGCATCACAAGAATTTATAAGTAAGATTAAATAAAGTACCTTCCATCAAGATTCAAGGAAAGCCTTCAGTTGATGCCTTTTAGAATAGACATAATCTCCATATAAATAAGAGAGGTAACAGGCTTTCCAATATCTTTATTGCTAAAACATCTTTAAGAAAGATAGCATATTCTTCAGCATAATGAATCAAGGGTTGACAGTACTTTAATAAATTGGCTTGGATTAAATTTGAACCTACAATAACTGCTGAATGTGGTGAATTCATTGGCTGACTTGTTACAATTTCATAAAGAGGTAATTTATGAGAGCCAAAAGGTGTGACCCTAAAATTCATTAACAACAATAGGAGTGCTTGCAGCCAAGTCAATCCCATGGAGGATGTAAGTATTCCAAATGAGTTTTTATAATTCCACTAGTCCTCTCCACAAGCCCAGAACAGAAGACTCAGGATGATTAGGACAATGTACGGCACATAACAACAACAACAACGAGTCTTTGGGTGTAGGAAGGATTGTGAGCCAGGTGTAGGACTGGGCAGTGTTTTGTTCTGTTGTACATAAGATCACTATGTGTCAGAGCTGATTTGATGGCACCTAACAACAAAGGCGTTGGAAAACAAGAAAAATATAACAGATAGTCTTTAACCCTGTCCAATAAAATTAGTTCCCTTGAAGATAAGCTGAGACCTCTCCATGAGAATACTTTCTAATAGTTTTTTTGCAACAAATGGTGCTGTAGCCTTTTGACAAGGAAAGGCCTCAACCTAATGAGAATACCTGCAAGTCATAACTAGATCAAATTTATAACCACTAGCCGACTCGATGGCACATAACAACAACAACAACAACAGCAGGTATTAGTTGGATAAAATCTATTTGCCATTTGAGCATTGGCCCAGTTGATAAAGGTTATTTCCAGGTGGAGGTTAATAATGTTTTCCTGGATTCAATTCTAAGCAGACAGAACATTAGTTGACTACTTGGTGCACATATTTCCAAAAATGGCTCAAAAAATTTTTTCTTAATATATCTATTGTGTTGTCCCTGCCCAAGTGTTTGTTCGTATGGAAGGGGGTTGTAAGGGAAATATGCAAATCGTTGGGAATAACAGGTTTGGTATCAGGTCCTTCCCATAAGGAAGAATTTTTGTTAAATCTGCAGCCTTCTTTTATACACTGTTTCACTTCTAATTCAGAAACATGGTTCTGGCAGCAAGCTAAATCATGCCAAACTGAAGGATGCCATTTAGGGTCTTCGATCACTATACCCAGGACTATTCCAAGATGTTTTCCACATAGGTGTGTATTTGCTATGGAGAAAGCATTTGTTAGAACAATGTGTCATCATCATAAAAGCAAATCTACTGTTCAAATGACTGTCATGACTGAACGAATATATATGATTGGCTTTGGCTAAAAGATGTCCCAAAAAAAGTCCCAACAAGGTAATTATCTTATTAGCAGAGTAAATTCCGAGTAAGGACATATGTAAATAACCTGGCAGAACACGTTTATTGTCAGGGTCCATCTACAACTGTATAGCTGGATACTGATAGCACTCAGTATATTTCCAGTCCTTGACTTCTTTTTCAGAAGCTTTCTTTACTATTATTATTATTATTATTATTTGCTAAGTCAGGAAATTCAGAAAAATTGAAAAGGCACGGACTCAGCTAAGCAATACCTAACTTAACATGGCTTAATGTTCTTAAAAAATTAGTTTAGAAGTTTTAAAGGACATAGTTTTTTTTTTTGCTCCTTTATTTTCACCCCAGTCATGACAGGGATTGTCACAAGTGAATTGAGATGTGGATCTTTTAGCAATGATTATGTTTCTTCTAATTTCTTCTGTTTGGAGAATTTTTTAGGTTTATTGACCTGAATTTTACTACTGCCATCTTAGAATGGAGCAAAAGATCTTCCAGTAGATCAGCCACCAAGAGACTATTTTTAATTTGGATCCTGGATGATGTCAGAAACCCCCTTTGTTTATATAACATTGCAAAATTATGAACAATTCCAAAACAGTACTTCTAATCTGTATAAATTATTAACGATTTTCTGGAAGCCAACTTGCCAGTCCTGGTGAGTGCAATTAATTCAGCTTTTTGGGGTGAAGTAACACTAGCAGATTGTTTTCCAGGATGGTAGTAGATGTGGTAATAGTATATTCATTTGATAATAGGAACTAGAAGAATCCAGTTTTAAATAAGACCCATCAACAAAAAGAATCAAATTAGGATTGTGTAGGGGAGTTTCTTGTCTGTCTTGTCTTGGAGTAAATAATTGATCTGTTAAATCTAGCCTGTCAAGAGAGATACTTTCAAAACCATCAGGTATAAGCAACATGGCAGCTGAATTAAAGTTAATGGTGTGTAAACTAATGTTGGGTGCAGCTAAAAGTAGGATTTCAAAGGAGGTTACCCAGTAGGCTGGCAAATGTTGAGTTAAAGAAGAATGTAAGATTGGAATCACACCATGGGGAATATATAAATCTGAAAATTTCCCAAGTACAGTATTCACTGGGACTTCTACCAGCTATGCTATGGCTGCAACTGCTCTAAGTCTCAGAGAATATCTTCTAGGTACTGGATCTAATTTGTAAGCTATAGTATCCTACAGGTCACTGCTGACTCTCATGTGTCTCAATGAGAACCCTAAAGCATCTCTAGGACATGCAATGAAAAACCTAACTTATAATTGGGAAACCCTAAAGCTGGGATGGTGAGAAGAGACTCTTTTAACAGCTCGACAGCTTCCTCAGACAGCTGAAATGGATCAGGTGCAAGTACTTTGAAAATATAAAGTGGCTTGGCTATTAGGGAGAAATCAAGAATCCTGGTGTGATAATAGCCATAAAGGCCTAAAAATCCTCTAAGTTGTTTCTTAGTGGTAGGGATAGAAATAGCCAGAATTTCATCTTCTCTTTTTGGGTATATGGAAACTCCTTGTTTATGGCCATAATATGC